TTGATGCTGGATCAACAGAAATAAATGGGCTGAATTTACTTCCTGCCCTCCATGTGCATTGGGTGACGTCGGTGCTGCGTCATCTGAAACCCAGCAATATAAAGGTTAGGCTGGGGTATTCTGCATGACAAAGAAAAACCCAGATTGATTTGGTTCCACGGTTTATTGGGTCAAAATGCCGCCTGGTTCTCTTTACACAGTAACAACAATCAGGACAAACACAATTTAATTTTTTTATTCTTTAACTTTTTGTTTGTTTCTGTAAGAATCTTTTATTATTATTTCTGCATCACACCGCTGCGTGGAGTCTAGTACGCCCCGGTCAGGTTCTGTTCCTGGTTCCTGGACCGAACCAAATACGACCGGAGTTGACAGAACCGACACACCTGTTCTACTGAGCAGAACCGCCTGCTGACCCAGTTCTCTACCAGGCCCAATTCCTTTCAGCAGGACTTGGACTTTTCCTTCCTAAATGGCTGGAAACTCTTCCTGGTTCTGAACTGGTTCTGTTTCAGAAACGCTCTGAACCCGGCCCGATTCTGCTCCTCCTCCCGCCTCATCCGATCCACGGCGCCGGCGGGAAAAGAACCGGGATCTGGACCCGCTCTCCCGCTGACAGCCTGTTTACCTCCAGCTTCTGTTTCTGCCAGCCGGGTCAGAACCACCTATGGGAAACCGGGCCGGTCCAGAATCCCGGCATCTCCTCCGTAAACATCCTGGCGTCGGGTCTGAAGCTGCCGGGTCGGCTGAAAGAACCGGGACGGAACCAGAAGGATGATGAAGGGCTGCAGCGCATGTCACTTCCTGTTTGACTAAATGAACTCTTAGTGGAACCAGGGCAACAAGACTCGCTAATTTACCCCCAGCAGCTTATTTGCCCCACAGCTCATCGCCCCCGCTGCTGCGCGTGCTCGCCCGCTCTCGGCGATGCAGCCGCAGCATCTCCAGGACGCTGCGGGCGTAGGCGTCCCTCAGGTTGGCTCCGCCCCCGGTGGGGTCGGCCCCGCCCCCCGGCGAGCCGCAGGTCAGCCTCCTGAGCGTGTCGGCGTGGCGCAGCGCGGCCTCCCGGACTTTCAGGGTGAAGTAGCAGGCGGAGAAGCGGTCGTTGATGATGGCGATGGGCAGAGCCAGGATCAGGATGCCAGACAGGATGCAGAGGAAGGCCAGCGTCTTCCCCGCCGCCGAGTCGGGCCGCACGTCACCGTAGCCCACCGTGGTCATGGAGGTGGTGGCCCACCACCAGGCGACCGGCACGCTGGTGAAGGTGGAGGCTGGAAGGTCGTGCTCCAGGGCGAACACCAGCGCGGCGAAGATGGAGATTCCCACGCCGAGGAAGAGGAGCAGCAGGCCGACTTCCTCGTAACACTGAGCGATGGTCATTCCCAGAGACCGCAGGCCTGCAGGGGGAGAAGAACCAGTTCATTCAGGAACTGTTCAGAGTTAGGAACCAGTTCATTCAGGAACTGTTCAGAGTAAAGAACCAGTTCATTCAGGAACTGTTCAGAGTAAAGAACCAGTTCATTCAGGAACTGTTCAGAGTAAAGAACCAGTTAATTCAGGAACTGTTCAGATAAAAGAACCAGTTCATTCAGGAACTGTTCAGATAAAAGAACCAGTTCATTCAGGAACTGTTCAGAGTAAGGAACTGAGGGATGGACTTTCCCAGAGACCAGGGCTTGGAGAGAGAGAGGATAAAGAACTGGTTCAGAGTAAAGAACTGGTTCAGCCCTGAACCTGTTCCTGTTCAGAGTAGATAAAGACTCTGTTGCTCCAATCTTCCTCCAGGAGACTCATCTTGTTTCTTGCGTAAGCCTGTCGTTGACGTCACTTTAGTTATCGCTGCTGGTTCTGGTTATTCTGGGTTCCTGCTCCAGTTTCCTCTGCTTCCTGCATTATTCATGAGCGATCGAGGCAGCTTCTTCAGCTCATGGAGTCTCTGCTGATATCAGACGTTGAATCCGTGTTTTCTCTGCCAGCTGCTTTCTCTCTTCACATCAGGAGTGTGAAATGGGGGAGTCAGGGGAATCTCTGATTGGTCCTCACACTTCGCCACATTACTGTGCTCTTTGTAGGCTGCAGATTCATTTTCCGTAAGAAAAAACAGGAAACAGCCAGTTTGTTCAGGAATATTTAGGACACAGCAAGCAACCAGGCTGAGGGAAAGTTGCATTTAGTAATGATGCAGCTGCTCCAGGCAATATGTTGACCTGCTGCTTGCTCTTTGTGCCGGCGAATGAAGGGAATCCTGTGATTGGATGAACAGACTCAGAGCGCTTCCAGAACCAGCTCAAGTGTGAACTCACAAGCCACACAATATTCTTTGTTCGCTCGCACCAGACTGACGGCACCCCCGTTGCTAACCGTGACAATAACTGCCATTATAGTCACGCTTTTAGGTTGGCATTGAGGGATCAAGCAGTCAGGCTTTGATACTTGGTGCAGTATTCTCCAAAAAGACGGCCTTCACAGAGAGACCATTTAAACGTCGGCACAGGAGGACCTGCTCTGCACAACCTCCTTCCAACTAGGAAGGTTTTATGTTTAGTTTATGTTCCTCTGGGGAAACGCTGAGAGAGTCCATGTTCTGGAGTGGCCATCACAAAGTTCTGACCGGAGCACCACAGAACAACAGATCATGTCAGAGTGAAAAGGTGAAGCAGGACACCTTAAAACTCGACCCAATTTCACTGGGATGGGCTAAAGGCCCAGTAAACCTTGTAGAAGCAAACCCAGAACATGAGCCAAATCAGTTCTACTAAGTTTTAATGGTTGAGAGAAACAGCTGAGCACAGCAGATGTACTTTCTACTGAAGCGCGTACCTGTGGAGTGTCGACCCAGCTTCAGCATGCGCAGGATCCTGAGGAGGCGCAGCACCTGGACCACCCGGCCCATGTTCTCCAGCTCGGTGGAGCCGCCATGGAGGCTCTCCACTGCCAGCGTCACATAGAAGGGCAGGATGGCCAGCAGGTCGATCACGTTGGGGATGCTTCGACTGAACCGGCACTTGTCCCGGACGCAGCTGAAGCGCAGCACCAGCTCACCTGTGAACCACAGGACGCACATGTACTCCACGATGTCAAGCAGCTGCGGCCCGCTGGCGCCCAGCCAGCTCACGCCGAAGTCCTGGTCCAGGTCCAGAGAGATCAGCACCATGTTGACGACTGACAGCACCACAAAGAAGATGGAGAGGGAGCCAAAGGTCCGGGCGGCGTGAGACGATTCCGGTCTCTCCAGAATGTCCCAGAGATGCTGACGCAGTCCTGGACAGAGCGCACCTACAAAGACCTCCTCTTCGTCGGTCTCAAACTCCTGGCAGACATCCAGGGACTCTTTCTGCTCCTTGCGGCGGTGGTAGCGTTCCCGGCAGCAGGAGTCGATGCGGAGTTCGTCAATGCCCCAGTACTCGATCTCCTGCAGGAAGGAGATCTCACACAGCTCCTCCATGACATGAAGGTGACCCGTCTGGTAGAAGTTCATCACATACCTGAGGACCAAGCAAAGAGATGAATGAAACAAAGTCTGAACAGCCTAAAGTTTCTGAAAACACCAGAAAGGTTGAGGAACCTGAAACCAGATCAGCCCTGACTAGATGTTTCCTCATCTCTGCAGGGTGAAAACATCAGGGGCCTCGTGTATCAAACCCTGCGCTGTTTTCACACTGAAACTTGGCGTAGGACAAATTTAGAAAAGTGCGGTGCACCAAAAAATCCAGATGTATGAAGCCGTGCTGCAATCAGACCTGCTCACCTTTCCTCTATCCTGATTTGGGGGAAACAGAGCAGCTGCTGCTCCGCCTGTCGCCTCCATGAATACATATTAATGTAAATTAGAATAAATACCTGGAAGTCTGCTGCCACGTGAAGCAGTAACCATGGCAACCATCCTGGCTAACAGCAGTATAAGCATCTATAATAATAATTATATAGTTTATTTAAAAGCTGCTTTCAGGGCTCATGAGGGCCCTGGTACCGGTTTCAGTGTATTTAGGTGAGTTTTGACACTTTGCAGTTTGTTATTGTCAAACTGAAAACGTTTGCATGGCTGATGCACATTTTCACAGCAGGTTCATTTCCATACATATCAACTTGAGCATGAAACATGGAGCCGCACATTTTTTGTGCGTACGCCGCCTTAGACATGAGGCCCCCGGTTGTCTATACAGCAGAGTCCCAGGTTGATCTCACGTTAGAACTACAGGAATAAAGGTCTAAGCATCCCTTAGACCAGGGGTGGGCAGTCCTGGTCCTGGAGCGCCACTGTCCTGCATCTCTTAGCTGTCTCCCTGCTCCAGCACACTTCAAACAGCTGAATCACCTCCTCAGTCGGGCTCTCCAGAGTAACGACCTCATTATTTGACTCAGGTGTGTTGAAATAGAGACGTATCTAAAAGTTGCAGGAGACCGGCCCCCCAGGCCTGGAGCTGGCCACCCTGACTTGGACTAAAGGTCTAAGGAATGCTGTATGATGACGGTTGTTTTGAGAGTAGAGGAAGACCTACTGGAAGGTTTGGGAGCTTCTGTCGAAGAAGAACTCATTCTGGAGGAAGTCTGCGTCATCGCAGAGCTCCAGCGCAGAGTCTTGACCGCAGCAGACCAGCTTCCCCAGTCGGGTCTCCGGGTGGGACGCCAGCAGCTCCTGGGAGAGGACGTAGCGACTCCCCCCGACGTTGACGACCACGGCGCCCAGCGGGTCCCTAACGCACGGCGCTGGCGTCTCGCTGAAGAAGACGCTGGAGTTCAAAGACAGCAGGGAGGCGGCGTCAGTAAAGACCTCCAGGCCCGCCATGGAGGACGAGACGGCAGCTGGAGAACAAGAGACAGGAGACATCTGGGTCAGGCTGCAACTCCTGAAGCGCCCTGAATAAGGTCACTGATGTCTGGGGAACAGCTGGATCTGACAGGAACAGATGCTGGCGGGGAGAGAGAGAGAGAGAGAGCGATTTCAACACCGTGGGCAGCTGCCCAGGGCGGCAGGAGAAGGAGGGTCCCTCACTGAGTTCGTGTTGTTTCTTTGATGCTCTGTCAGTCAGGAGTTGGCGCCCCCTTGTGTTGAGGAGGAGCAGGTCA